GAGATACAAATTAAAACATGAGGGAAATCCACTGGGCGTCAGGGATGCCCGTTGAAGGTGCTTTGTGTGGACCTGACCCTACGCTGGGAGCCGAGGATGGACACTTCTTCCAGCGAGCAGTCTGCAGCCTGAGCGTCGAATGAGTGGTGCAGCTGACCTCATCTGTTAATTGTAATCGATTCTAAGAGTGGTTAATTTAATGAGTTTGTTTGTTTAATGCTTTAGCAATGTGCATCTTTTGATTCAGGCGTGCACACAACTAATAGAAGATTAAAACTCGTTGCTGGTAACTGATGCTCTGGGTTCAATATGGTTTTGGTCAAATCTTTATGTTTATAGTAGAATGGCTATAAGTTGCTGGATGGGTGGATGCAGGCACAGGATAAATCAGAGGAGAGCTTTAGCAGTGCCTTACTTCTGTGTGGTGCTGGTTTGTTTTCCTGACTCTTATTTCCACTCCCACTTAGGGATGGATTAAATTGAAGTAGACAGATACAAATCAATGGTCACACTGCTGGGCCCTGCGATGCCGCAGGTGGGACAGTTTTGAGCCTTGTCCCCACAAATCCAGTGTTCCTCCTTGGTGTGGGGAGGGTGATTTATTTGCCAGTTCCTTGTTAGTGTCTATCTGCAGCCTGAGCTGGTCACATGCTGATGAGTTTGTTTTTGTGACATTAGTTTGTTTTGTGCTATAATAGGCTACAGCCTAAACTTTCCTATTTTTTGTTTGTTTGTTTACTTCCATTGAAGAGTCTCTGGCCTCACTTTAGGAGGCTTGGGAAGGCGTTAGGGTAAACGAACGGTGATAATTGGGGTGAAGTGTTTAGTGTGGGTGGGTGTAGCTGTGTGCTGCATTTCTGTAACTGCACCAACCATCATGCCAAGGTCTGTGAAGGCAGGAGATGCAGCTTGTCTTCTGCTGAAGAGAGACCCTTACCTGTCAGGGATTGAGTGCCCTAACAGCTTACCTCAGTGCCTGCAGAGCTGGAACGGCTGCGACATGTTTCGATGGATTTCAGGCTCCTGCATGCCAGGGAATGTGCAC